TGTGGATGTCAGGATTGGCAAGCTCATGCTGTTTGGCACCATTTTCCGCTGCCTGGATCCTGCTCTGACCATAGCAGCCAGCCTGGCCTTTAAGTCACCTTTTGTAAGTATTCTTAACCCGAGGGTCGTGTTTTTGTGTGGCAGCAAAATGCTGTTGTGACGTGCAGCACGCTACACTTGATATTTTAATTCTTCTTTTTAGCTGAATTGTTTATGTGTTAATGAAGGGCTTGTTAAAACAGTCCAGTTATAAGCAGAAGTTCAAAACCATGTGAGCAACAAGAGTGGTATTTACATACAGTACAAACAGTGAATGTTATTTTTGATTTCTACCTAAGAAGTGCACACATTTTGTCTGAATTTGGTGTGAAAATTACTGGTGATATAAATTGTGAAATAGTGGTAATGGATGGAGCTGACACATCTGAGCTGTGCATGCAGAGGTCAGTTTGGATCTCTGTGTCTTCACTGTCACTTTGCCTTCTTGAATCAGGTGCTCTTTTGAATGCCTCATATTTTCTGTTATCCACAGGGAAAATTTGCATTCTGACCTGTGAGCTGCTGTGAAAATACCAAAGAGAATGTGCCATGTAGCTCTAGAATGGCTCGTCCAAGTGGTGAGGGGAAGAACACACTAACCTGTTACTGCCTGTCTAGGTGTCACCATGGGATAAAAGGGAAGAAGCAAACAAAAAGAAGCTGGAGTTTGCAGTAGGAAACAGTGACTACCTGGCTCTTCTCCAGGCCTATAAGGTGAGTTAAAACTCAGTAGCCTCTCTTGGGGTTTTGTGATGTGTTTGATATCCAAGCAGAAGGGTTTTATTAAAGGCTTCCTCCCATCCTCTCAATCAGGGATGGCGTTTAAGTATCAAAGAGGGCTCTCAAGCAAGCTACAACTACTGCAGGGAGAACTTTCTATCAGGAAGAGTTCTTCAGGTAGGTCAGTGTTTGTGGCTTGGCACAGGGACTGGCAGAATCCCAGTGACAGAAATAAGCCACTGGGGAAGACTCTTCCTGCTGGGTGTGGCAGCCATCACAGCGCTCTGTCTGTTGTAGGAAATTGCCAGTCTGAAGAGGCAGTTTGCAGAGCTGCTTTCTGACATCGGCTTTGTGAAGGAGGGATTGAGAGCCAGGGATATTGAGAAGAAGTGGTCCCAAGGAGGTGATGGCGTGTTGGATGCCACAGGAGAGGAGGTAATTCACAGCATTTCATCGGTGCTTCAAAATGCTGCTGCAGTTTTTCATGTGGGCTGCCTTCAGAAAGCCTGGGGCCAGAGATGCCCTGGGGTTACATGATGATCAGGATTTGGCAGTTGTAGGATTCCTGTGCTTTGGGACAGCTTGTGCTTTCTTTCTCAAGGGTGCAAGCCACTCTGTAGCCACATGTCAGAGAACAATTCAGCTGCTTACCAGGATAGTGGTGGCCAATTTGTTCCATTGATAGTGGGGGGAAATGCAGCCCAGGTCCAACCTGAGGCCACAGGAGCAGTGACTTGTCCTCCTCTATAAAGCACAGGAGTGCAGCTGTAAAAGTGAACTAGTTTCAGGAATTCAGTCGTTCCTGGAGCAGGGTTTTACCTTTACACACTGAACTGTAGGATCCCTAATGATCTACTGATTTCACAGGCAAATTCGAATGCAGAGAACATCAAGCTGATCTCAGCTATGCTGTGTGCTGCACTGTATCCCAATGTTGTCCAGGTAAGAGAACGCTTTTTCATTTTCCCTTCTTTGGTCTAGGATATCCACATAGCCTGCTTTCATTTGGGCTCAGTGTGGCAGCCTTGAGCCTGGCTTAGGTTTCCAAAATCTGCTGCTTGTGGTGTCAAGATTTTGTATTGCTGTTCATACAGACTGCTGCTGTTCATACAGGCTGATTACAGTCACACAAAAGCCAGCAGGAAATGTAAAGAAGCCACTTAAAATTAGACCTTTTTAGAAGGCTGAGGTTACAAAGGGAGTCAGGGTTGGACAACACCTGGAGTGTAATACCTGTCTCCAGTGACTTGACATGTTGCTACTACAGAATTTCTGGTTTTGAAAAATTTAAAACATGAAGTTAAAAGGTTTCCTGGTGCAGCAGATTTTTTTATAACCTTTTTTCTTACCATACAGGTGAAAAAGCCAGAGGGTAAATACCAGAAGACCAGTACAGGAGCAGTCAAAATGCAACCAAAAGCAGAAGAGCTGAAGTTTGTTACTAAAAATGATGGTTATGTTCATATTCATCCTTCGTCTGTGAATTATCAGGTCAGGATATTTTTCTGCAAAGCATGCTCTTTTTTTATAAAATAAATCACTTTTGCTTGAGTGTTTAAAATTACACTGAGGATCATTATTCATGTTTAAAATAAAAAAAAATATCTTAATGATTGAACTGTAAATAATGGTGCATTCCTGAGTTAGGAGTGTCCTCCTGGGCACAGAGTTAAACTGCAGCCTCTGGAGCCAGCAGCTCTTTTGTTGGCAGCTCTTTTGGGTCAAGGAGGGTCTGTTAGTGCTGCAGGTGCACTTCAGGCCCACCTGCTGCTGCAGAGCTGGCCTGTGTGGCAGAGGCAGGAAGAGCAATGTCACTCTGACCGGGCTGTTGTGTCCCTGTCCCAGACCAGGCACTTTGAGAGCCCGTACCTGGTGTACCACGAGAAGATCAAGACGAGCCGCGTGTTCATCCGGGACTGCAGCATGGTGTCCGTGTACCCGCTGGTGCTGCTCGGGGGCGGCCAGGTGCACATGCAGCTGCTCAAGGGGGACTTTGTCATCTCCCTGGACGACGGCTGGATCCGCTTTGTGGCTGCCTCTCACCAGGTGAGGAGGAGGAGGGGCCCTCCTGGGAGAGCTGCAGAGCTGAGCTGCAGCTGAGCCTTACCCTTGCCTCTGTGTTTTACCACGTGTGTCAGGTGGCTGAGCTGGTGAAAGAGCTGCGCTGTGAGCTGGACCAGCTGCTGCAGGATAAAATCAAGAATCCCAGCATGGATTTGTGCATGTGCCCTCGAGGCTCTCGGATCATTGGGATGATTGTCAAGCTTGTGACCACGCAGTGACATCAGAACAGCTTTCTGTAAAGCATCACCCATGGCTGCTGCCTGAGAACAGACCAAGTAACGTCAGTGTCCCGATGTATTTACTGCTTCAAAATGTGGCGTGGACCTCTGCAAAAACAAGTTGGCAACTGTACTGTTGAGTTTTGGGTTGGTTTTTTTTTTGTTTGCTTGTTGAAATTAAGGTGGCTTACACTCAGCTCTGGGGAAATGGCAACTCTTCCAGAAGGAACAGAAACCTCTGAGTGTTTCTTATGGGACTATGTCCTGGTAGTAGTGTTTTCTGGTCACACAAACACCTGCTAGCCAGCTGTTTCTTGTAATAGTCACGGCTGGAGGCAGCATGCGGCATAGGGAGCCGCTCCCAAACTGGTTTAAACTCACTTCTACATTTTGACTAAGACTTTACTGAGGCAGTTCTGGCTGACCAGGGATCCTGTTTACAGTTCAACCCAAAGCCCTTGTACAAGTAAGCACCTTTAGCTTTGTGTCAAGAGGTTCTGCAATTCAACGTCCTATGGTAAGGAGATGTACTGCATCAGTCAGTGTGGTTTTGGATCAGTGCAGGTTGCTCTGGTGACAAACTCCACCACAGTGTGGACATTTTCCCTGGAAGAGAGGCTGTTCCAGCCCTTTCTGCAGAGTAAGTAAAACAGCTGAGATGGGACTACTGTAGTGCATTAAAATGAATTCTTGGGACAGATGCCATTGTTAACTGCTAATTATTGTGGTATGGGTTCCAGCTGTGCATGGGTTCCACACTACACAGCTGGAACGAAGTCCCACTTCTGGAAGCTTTTGGCCAAACTCCTGCTCTGAGGACTGGGCTGCTCCAGTGTGGGGTAAAATGCTGTAGCAATAATGAACCATTATTTCCTCCCTTTGGCCTTGCTTTTAATTGCAGTGCTGCGCATTGCTGCAGCCAAGCTGCTCAAATACCAAGTGCCTGAAGTGACGGGACTGGGCTGTCACCCTTCTGTCAGCAGAGTGAACCCTGCCTCAGCACCAGTGTGACCACAACCTGAGGAATGAGCGGAGGGAGGGACAGTGTTAGACGAGTTTGTTTTTTTAATACCCACTGTTTGTAGGAGTTTCACACCAGCATGCCCTCCTGTGATGTTAGACGAGTTTGGTTTTTTAGGAAAATACCCACTGTTTGTAGGAGTTTCACACCAGCATGCCCTCCTGTGAGGAAGATGACGGGAGTATCAAGACCAACATCCCTGTGTAGAGAATGGCCACTGCAGCTCTGCTGGGATGGATTAGCCCCAGCTGGCTCCACTCCCTCCCCCCATCCCACCTCCATGAGCTGGCACTGAGAGGAGGGAGAAGCATGGGATCAGATATTCACACACTGAGATACAGTTAAATAAAATAAAAGCAATAGAATTTATTCTCCACTTCCCTTGGGCAGCCACTCCAGGAAAGCGGCACGCTGTCCTTCCTACCATTCCTAAAATTACTGGCACTCCAAAATTTCCTTGCTATTCTGGTAACAGCCATTATCAGCTGCAAAGATAAAGCAAACTGGCAAAAATCCCAAACTATTTTATTAACTCAGTAACCCATCCGTGGTGGGATGGGGTTAGGCTGGTTTCCCAAAGCAACCAGAGATCAGCACAGCAGCAAGGCCCTTCCCTGGGCACGCTTCACTGCCAGGACGGAACCAGGCACACACGGGGAACTTGAGCTCTCAATTCCCCACGGATCCTGCTACTTGAACACAACCTGCAGGACCCATGATCTCCACAAACCCCTCAAACTTCCTAAGAAAGGTACACCTGGACATACAGCATACACACAAGAGGCATCTGGCACTGGCACCTTTTCCCTCTAGCTGGTGCTGCCCAGGGACACAGAAGGCACACGTGCCTGTCCCAACCTGCCCGCTGCTTTTCCCCCGGGGCAGCACACTGCCTGCTTCCCCATCCCAACTATGAACTGCAGGGTCAGCACAACTGATTTCTTAGTTAGAAATGAAATTTATTTCAATGCACCAATAAAAAAAAAAAAGCCCAACATTTTCAGATCACAGAACACAAACACAACAAAAGAGTTTGGTATTAGTCTGCTAACAAGACTTTTAGAATACAGAGATTCATGCCAATTGCTAGTCAATAGAAACAGCCTTCTAGGACTAAGCCCTTACATCACAAAATCCCTTATAATGTAAACAAAATAATTTTTTTACTAAACTTCTTAAATTTGAACCCATTCTTTTAGGACTTTCTTTCCTTCAAGGGCTTCCTGATGGTGAGTGACTGAAAGGAAAAAAAGACAACAAACATTAAGAACAACTCCTATGGCAAAACCAACAGAAACTGCATGCTACCCTAGGCTTCCTCTGGAGTTCTGCCCCTATTTGCATTTGCAGTTCCCAAACGAAAGAAGTGTTGTATTTTATACTTCACCTTAAAAACTGCTTTAAGCTTGAAAGCTGAAGACTAATTAAGAGAGCTGAGACATCAAGCCTGCTCAGAAATCTCAATTCCAGCACATGCTTCTCTCTGGTAACACAGGAAAACTTCTTCCTTCGTGGAGCACAGCACAGCTTGGCAGCTGTGCAACTCCCAAGCCTGCAGGAGTCACCAGGCAGGAATTTAATCCTACACCACTTCACTGGCTTGCTCCACACCTTACATTACTCACTTGTTCCCTAGATTCTAAATTCCTCAGAAACATTTCACCAAAGGTTTCTTTAGCAGCAGCTATTCTAATTCCTTAGCTGTATCATGACATTCTGACTACCAGCAGCAGGAAATGCCCATAAACAGTTCATCTCCTCATAGTTCAGATTTAGGCAAGTAAAAACCCTGAGCTTTTATCCTTGCCCAAGTAAACTCCTCTAGGAACCGCCCCAGCTTAAGTGCTATTGAACCACAGGACAGACTCCAGTTTTAGGACATTCCTACCTTCTCTTTGGAGATGGTGATCTGGACTTTGAGCGGCTGTTTAAAAACAAACAAACAAACAAACCAACCAGTCACTTGGGTGCTCTCAGTAACCACTTCTGACCATTTTAAATCAGAACAATTTGATGCTGTTCAATGCAATCACTGCTGGTATCAAGTGTACCCAGGTACTTTAAGCAAGAAGCTGCAGGTGAGAAGGAAAAATGCTGGAAGCCAGAGCCCTTGGGAAAAGAGCAACACACAGCTTCAAAGCTGCTGTAAATCACAGTAACCCTGCAAAGCAGGAGCAGTGAATCGAGCAGAGTTAGGGAGAGGGAGAACTACAGACACTTAAGAACAAAGGTAGGAGAAAACATGCCCCAAATCCTGTCAAAAGTTGGTTTTTTTTTGTAATAATGAGTGTAAAACATCCGTATGCAAAATCCTGGAAGAATTGCCTACTGTCCCACAAAAAAATCAGCTATTCAAAAAAAACCCAAAGTGTATGAAAAATGCAACTGAAATACCAGTCCAAACAGAGATTTTGAATCATGAGGAAGAAAAACAAAGAACCCCACAAAAAACCCCACCAACCAAAACCAACTGAGTGGTACTTGTGTTTGAACGCTCACCTTTTAGCAGGTAAGCCAGATTTAGATCTACCATGAGACTCAGACCTACAACAGGAGAAAAATAAAGCTCAGCAAAGCAGCCAGTGGGCATGCAAACACACGGAGAGTTAGCTACACCAGCAACAGCAAATTCACCCCACGCAGCAGCACCAACCAGAGGGAAGGCCCTGTGCTGCAGGCCTTCCCCAGGACCTTCCAAGGGAATCCCTCAGCTCTTCCTGCAGAGACCCCACCCATCAGAAGGCACAAGTGCAAGCACAGGAAGCTCCCCAGCAAAGCTTCTGCCAGTTCCACAAAACACCAGACCAGACTCCCACGCTTCCCTCCTACCTGCAAGTATCCCTTCTAGAAAGGGAAGAACAGTTTGAAGTGTCATCTTAGAAACTATTTTAACAGCACTTAGGAGTCTGCAATCAGCCACAAGTGTGTGTGCTGAAGAGCTGGTGCATTCTTCAGCTCGAGTTCCCAATGCCAATTTTATTCAAGCATAATATAGAACTTGCACCAGTATCTGGTTACTAATGAGTAAACTATTCCCAGTTTATCTCAGGAATTAAGATCTACTTGAACAGTGAAACTTTCCTCCCACATTTGTTACGTGACTTTATCAACTCAAATATTTGCTGTTACTTTAAAAAGTCTTCCTTGAGTGTCACAATTCAAGCTATCACTCAACATCAGAATGCTCCCTTCAATAAGCCTGGCCAAAAAAGCAAAATACTATCACTCTATTTCTGCTCCAAACTGTTTTTGAAGGGTAATAAATATTCACCTTTACGTGGCCTATTAACTCACAGAAATACTACAAGGACACTGCTGGCACATGTTAAACAAAATGTTACACAAAATGTTACATGCCACTGCTTTGAAACCTTCCTGCTCACTATCCTGAGCCACTGTCTGGCCCATTTCCCCCCTCGTAACAAGGAACTTTTTACAGGATCACAGTTACTGAAGATGAGAATGCTCACAACCATCTCATAACAAAGAGCTTTTTACAGGATCAGTTACTGAAGATGAGAATGCTCACAACCACCCAGACCTGGTACTCAGCAGCATGAGCATCTCTTCCACTGCTAAGTAGAAGGCAGCACAGCACACAAAACCATCCTCAATTTACTACATGAATTATTTTTTTTTTTAATTCTCTCCACAGACCTTAAATTGTACATCACTACTTTTGTCTGTGAAAAGGCATAAATTATTGAGTGCAAATATTGCTCTGGTGGACAGCCTTCTAAGTGCTTCCAGACAAATTCCCCCAGGAAAGGGGAAAAAAACCCCCAAAACAAACAACACACCACCACAACCAAACAACACACCAAAACCATTACTGGTCTGAATTAATCCAAGTGTCTCACCTGCTGCGAGGCCATACAACAGACCGGGACCTGGAGCGTGATCTGGACCTAGATCTGGGAAAAAAAAAAACAATGGAAGCTCTACTACCACATGCTTCATACAGGTAAGACAGAAACAAGTTCTTGTAAGTGTCCCAGAACACTGAGAACTTTGTTGGACTTGGTTTTGCAGAAGTAATTTTTATTATCAGAAGGCTGTGGCACCTTTGGTCAGGTGCCATGCAGGTAAAGTGAGTTCCACTGTCTTACTGGGCTAAGCAATTACACCCTGCACATTTGAAGCTGAATTTGGAAACCTTAACCATAGAGCAAGGCTGTAACTTTGGTACAATGTTAGAAAGAAAAAAATAAAATCTCAGAAACAACGGTTCCAAAACTGTAAGCTAAAATTTTAAGGAAAGTATTCAAGTAGCTCTTATGCATGTCACACAACAAAGGTTCCTACCAACACATGGACGGCAAAACAAACTTACTGATGCTATAAATATATATACAGGCACTTGGTATTTCAGCTCCACGTTATGTGCCCTTCACCAATGCTGTGGGTTTAACAGCAACCACGTACCTTGACCTTCTCAGAGAGCCAGAGCGGGACCTGCGGGGTGAGAACGATCTGTATCTACGAGGAGACATCGACCGGGACCTGCGGTAGGAAGCCGACCTGGATCTACACAACAAAGCAAAAACCAACCCATCACTGCAAGGTACTTTTCACAACAACTACAGAAAAGGAAGGAGGGGCCCAGAGAGGAAGAAATGGGAATGAAAACACAGAAGGCAGAGCCCTACCTCCTACCACGGCTGCGGCTGCATGACCGGGAATACCTTCTTCCTCGGGACCTCGAGCGGGATCTGGACCGGGACCTGGGTTGAGGTTAGAAAAAACAGGTATCAGCAGACAGCTGCAGCACCCAGCACCTGTGAGGCCCTGCTGAAGTCAAAACTTTTTTCAGACAACTAAAAAGAGGATTTAAAAATAAAACAAAAAAAGAAAAACCAAAAACCAAACCAAACAAAACAACAAAAACACACCACTAGCATCTGTCAGTTGGAAAAATGTCTGGGCCTACTTGTCTTGAGCATTTTTACTACCTAGAAAAATGTTAAAAGCTGAATTACATTGCAGAATTACATTAGAATAGAAAACACTGTAATGCGTATTTAAAATAAACCTTGCAAGTTTGCAGGTCGACCCTCTTTGGCCCAAGGTCTAGCAGATCTAGACGATCTAGAAGTATCTATAGGCGAGCGCTGCATCTAGGTAGGTGTTCTCTTCAATCTAACGACGATCAAACTGACAGCCCAATGAGCCAGGGTGAGGCTTGATTGACGCAAGAAGATTTTTCTAGGTGGGAATGTGGTCAATCTGGTGTTCCTCTTTCTAAACCGGAGGGGGGCCCCAATTGAAAGCCAAATTTACTGTTACGGCGGTCACCGTCTCAAATTTTCTGCCCTTAAAGAATAAGGTGAAGCTACGTGTAGATGGCTCGAGGGGATCTGGCCTCTTATGCTGATCACCTCAAGGTCTAGGAGGATCTTAAGTGTCGGATTTGCAAGGCGCCTCAGCATGAAATCTTAAGGCTCGTGACATTCTGAATCAAGGCGACTGACTCAAACGAAGAAACCTGAAAGGTTTTGACCAGGTTGATTATTAAAATATTAACATTTTATATGTATTAGCAAAAAAAAAAAATTTTGTGATATACACCTGTTGACTTACGACAATTAGAGTTAAAACTGGTGTAACATTGTGTTCTTTGCTAACAAGAACTACACAAAAGCGAGCTGGCGAAGCAACGCGGCTGCCCCGGCCCCGCACGTACCTGCTCCTCCTTCGCCGGCTATAGCGGTGACAGTCATAGGCATAGTGGCCTTTCTCACCACACTCATAGCATCTGTCGTTGGGGTCGAAGGGGCGCCGGGCAGGGGGCCGGTCGTAGCGGGAGCGGCGCGGCATCCCTGTGGATACTTCCACCCTGACCCTGGAGCCGCATATTATCCTGCAAGACACAGCAGCCATCAGCCAAAGGAGTATCTTCCTCTCTTGCGCCCAACAACCAACATGAGAAATCCCTGACTGGTGTGGCGTAGGCAGATCGAGGGCTGCGGCCCCCAAAGGAATTCCAAACATGCACGTACTTCCCGTCGAGGCCAAGCACAGCATCTTCAGCATCCCGGGGGTCTTTCCACAGACCCCGCCGCCGCGGCGGGCGCGCCCGGCGTGCCCCGGCCCTTCGCCAGCGTCCACCCTCAGCGGCCGCCTGACGGAACGATCACCGTCTCCCACCGCCGGAGCGGCACGAACGCCGCCGCTCGCTCCACCTTTCCCCTCGCCTCCCTGCCCACAGTACAAACCCTCCCGGGCCTCTGAGACTCGCCAGGCTCCCCGCCGTCCTCACCATATCGCCCGTATCGCGACATCCTCCCGATGACAGCGCGAGCCCGGGCAGGCGCGACCCTTATATAGAGGAACAGCCGCTGCGCCTGCGCGCCGCGCGGGGGGCGGGGCGGGGCGGGCCCGCGCCTCGGCGCGCGCGGGGCTCGCGAGAGGCGGTTCCCGCGAGAGGCGGTTCCCGCGCGGCGGCCATGGCGGCCCAGAGGGCCTGAGGGGACGTGAGGAGCGCGGGCCGCCCCCGCTCCTGCTGGGCACACGCTCGCCCCCGGCAGCCCCCAGTGAGAGCTCCTGACGGGGAACCCAATCGAGAGCCACTTGTCGCGTTTTGCATCCCTCATGCGTGACCCGTCATGGCTTCTGCCTGTGCTGAGGGTGAAGGAGCTTACGCCATGGGCCTTATTTTATAGCCAGGAGTGGTGCCTTCCTTGGAACAAGGCATCCCCAAGTTGCTCCAAATCTCTTGTGATGGCTCACACCTCACGTCCATCCCAACCAGCCTTGGGTGTTCAGCTCCTGGTTTATCCCTCATATCTGACATGCAGCTGGAGCTGTTGTGTGTTGGTATCTCCCAACCTTTCCATGCAGTAGTGGATGTGCAGCAGACATTTTTTAATAAAAAATCAACAAAAACCTGACAGATGAAAAGTAATTTAGGTAAATCCCAGCACAAATGAGGAGAGCCTTTAAGGAACAAGGGTTAGGCAGACTTTTCAGCTGCATTTGAGCACACCAATGTGATTAGCTCCTAATAATGCAGACCAAATAAATACACTGAGATAAATGAGGCCTCTAAACGTTCCTTGCTGCATTAATAATCTCAGGAATAATCACATAATGATTCCTGCATCATGTGTTGGCATAAACTAGAAACAGAGCATTAAAAAACACAAACTTACTCAATGGCAACACATTTCCTTTTACAGAACACTGGTTTTCCAAGCACTGCTGCTCTAAAATAACAAATATAGACAGGTAATGGTTTTAAAACCTGCTATTTGCATGCTAACCTTCCCTAAGCATTTCTGCAAACAGTGAATACTGACACCCAGGAGAGCTGCTAAAACAGGACGGTTCCTAAAACAGGAGCGCTCCAGGAGACGAAAGGCCTCAGTGCTGTTGCTGCAGCGGCCCTCAGCGCCGCTGTTGCTGCAGGCAGCGCTGCAGCGGCCCTCAGTGCTGTTGCTGCAGGCAGCGCTGCAGCGGCCCTCAGCGCCGCTGTTGCTGCAGGCAGCGCTGCAGCGGCCCTCAGTGCTGTTGCTGCAGGCAGCGCTGCAGCGGCCCTCAGTGCTGTTGCTGCAGGCAGCGCTGCAGCGGCCTTCAGCGCCGCTGTTGCTGCAGGCAGCGCTGCAGCGGCCCTCAGTGCTGTTGCTGCAGGTAGCGCTGCAGCAGGTCCTGCACGCGGGACAGGATGATCTCGTTGGTGCTGCTGCACTGCTCGGGGCCGTACGGGGGCTCGATGGTCAGCACCCCCGCCACGCTCAGCGTCCTGCCCAGCTCCCCCTGCTCGCCCACGGGGATGTGGTTTGTCTCCAGCCAAGTCTTCAAGGCGTTCTTCCTCTCCTCCAGCTCCTCCGCGCTGTAGGCTTGGCTTTCCTCGGGTGCAAGGATGCGAGCGAGGCGCTGCTTCATGTCGCTGTCCCCTTCCTGCAGGATCTGCACCTCCTGGACAGCGTGGCCCATGACGAACGATAAGGATCCTTTCTCGTTCTCTGGGAATGTTGCGAGGACAATGCTGTCAAGGAAAGAAGATTGTGTAAGTTCCTGTTCTTAACTGAAGACTGAGAAGCAGCTTCCAAGGTTTTGGAGATAAGAGCTCATTAGCATCAGCCTAATCCAGGTATTTAGGCAATAGCCAGCACCCATCATTTTCCTTTGACAAGCATGCTGCTGTACCCTTAAAATACTAAAAATGTGGGGATCTGCAGGGAATTGCTGGTCTTGAATTTGAAACCACTCTAGACACTGTGAAGCAGAATATTAATGTACACTTTGCGTCAAAAAACTAAAGTCAGGTCTGGAAATCTGAATATTTTTGTGCAGCTTTCCCAACACTACTGAAGAACCTAAAACATTTCAACATTCAGAAACTGATACCTTCATACATACAGCACCTTGAATGCTGAAGGCAGCTAACAACACCAGAACCTTTTCATGAAACAGTCATATTTATTGATCATTGCCAAAAGAGTATTTTTAATGACTGTTAAAAATGCCAATTTAATGACTGTTTTAATGCCAATTTATTAAACGAAAATACAACAGAACACACTACAAAAGGCTCAGGCTCACGTTGTAGAAGCCTGGTGTTTTCCCAGGGGCACTTGCAGAAGTCCTAAAATGCAAGTAGGAAGGCAACTGACTATATTTCTAGGATCTCTCCCTCATATATCAACAAAGAGCATCAGAAACCATTTTCTTCTTCTTGTGGGAAGGAAAATTCCACAACATGATGCCAGCACTTCACTAGCCAATTATTGCCACCATTAGTGGAAGTAATGACGTTTTTGGGGCGGTGTGTCCAGTGAGATATGCCTTGATTTCAGCCTGGACCATCACCAGAATCACTCACAGCTGCATGCACCATCCTTAGCAAAATGATAGGAAACTTCAGGAGATTATTGGAGTTACTTCAGAGCTGAAGCAACAACCAGTTCTTCTGAAACACATCAGAAGCTGAATGTTTTAGTTTTGAGCCTCCAGCCTGTGTTCATGTGGGACAAGCTCACATCCAATAAGGTATGAAAGAGCTCAGGCAGCAAGGAGGCAAATTTCTGCCCATTCCCTGGTGCATTTTGCCTTTCAAACCCTGTTTTCAAGTTACTCACTTTGCTATACCAGAGATGTGTGGTACCACTTTCTGTCCAGTGCCCCTGATTTTCCCTGCTTGCTCTCCAAAGAAGCCTCAACACCTTCCTGGGTGTCTGGCTGGAGTGGAAAGCCAGGCATCAATGCAAGTACCCTAGACAAAGGCTAAGGATTTCAACACCTAAAGCACTGAAAACACTCCAGCGCTCTGTAAAGCAGGGTTTGGTATATTACCACAAGCAATCTTTAACACATAGATTGTTGAGAGGTAATAGTATAGCTTAATATATAAGTTTTAAATCAGAGTAAGTCACTTGGAATTATGCTACTGTGTGATTTAATATGTTGTCCACTTAGCTTTACTTGCTTAGCATGAGTAGCTGGGTTTGCTGAAGCCTTGGCTGCAAGCTCTGAACTTTCACCTTGAACACATGCATTCAGCTGGTAGAGAGCTGGTTTTTTAGCAATTCTCCTAGAAGCTGGCACAGTGCTGAGTTTTGAATTTACAGTGAGAATAACATTCCTGATATTTTGGTTGTTGCTAAGCAGTGCTTATTCTAAATCAAGGACTTTTTAGTTTCCCATGCTCAGCCAGAGATGAGGTGCACAGGAAGTACAGACCAGAAGATAAAGAGGCTGCAGCCATCAGCAGAAGTTGCAGCTTAACAAGATAACATGCCATTTTTGCTCCAAATAAGTTTGCTTCAGCCTTGGAATCTTTTCTCCTCCTAAAAATCTTGCTTTTCATAAAAGCTTTGGTACTTACGTGGCAGAAACTGGGTCAACTGTTAAAACCCATCCTTCATATTCGTGTTTCTCAACTGCAACAACTTTCACCAATTTGTTCACATACGTTTCCCAGTCTAGAGGGCTTTTTCTCTGCCACTCATTCATATTTCCTGCATCCAGGACCTAGAAAACAACCAGATGAGTCAGCAGATGCAGTCAATCTTTTTGCTTTGCTCTTCGCGTCAGGACTGGCTTTGCCTCCATGTAAAGATTTGTCTTTAGCAAAATTTGCCTTTTTTTTTCTTTTTTAAATTTTTTTTTTTTTATTTTTAAAAGCAGACATTCACACAAGTGGTTCGCCTAAAGCTGCACTTCTGTAATTCCCTACGGAATCCACTTGTTTTTAAAGGCACACAGCAAAGCCTCAAACCCCACTGTTCTGGTAATGAGCCTTTCTGTTGCATCCAACACTCCATCTATTGCTCTGCCTTCTTACGAAACCTTGGAGGTAAAAGTTCAGCGCCTTTGTTTCGTGCACTGGCGCATCACTGGTGCCCGAGCCCTTCCACCGCCTTGGATAAGCGCTATCCACCCGGCTCATCCCCTGCGCCGGAGCACCACCAAGTGCAGTTTCACTCTATTCCCACCATCCAGCATTCCCAGCCCAGCCCTTCCCCCGAGCCAGGCCGCAGAGCGACGGGCGCAGCACAGAGGGCTGGAGGGCGCTTTGTTCCCCGGGAATGCCTTGCCGGCAGGAAGAGCGTGCACAGCCCAGCAGAGCCCCGGTCCCCAAGCCGCTCTCCCGCTCACCGGCCCCAGTTCCCGTTCGCGTTCCCGCCGAGGGCGCCTGGGAGCTGCGGCGGGCGGCACCGCCGCTTCCTGCCGCCGCCCAGCGCCTTCCCCGGTCCCGGTACGCACCGAATGCTCCCGTGCGGCGTTTCGCAGCTGCGGAGGCACATAGATGACACAGAGGCGGGCACGCAGCAGGCCAGATCGCAAAACAAGGAGTCGGGGGCCGTGTGGCCCCCCTGGAGCTGGATTTGCTCCTGGGATGCTCCTGCTGGCACAGCTTGCTCGTGCCAGGCCGTGCTTCCGTGTGTGTCAATAGGAGTAGATGCACGCTCTGTGCATAAAAATAAGGAGTTTTTGTTCCCTGGTTGTTGAGCTGCTTTTGGCAAGCTTTGCCGTGCCGCCTTCACGGCGGGAAGCTTGATTCCAACACCCCACACCTGCTGCATTTCAGCAGCGCTCATGGATGAGCCAAACAAGCTGCTAATCATTGATCTGGTGATTTGTTAGGAATTTGTGAACGCGAGCATGCAACGGTTTAGTGAGTGCTAACACAAAAAATATAAAGCGTATAAAATGAGACAGTCACACTTTGCAGGCTCAAATGAGCTACTTCCTTTTTTCCCCTTCTTTTTGGGAGTCTCAACTCAGCCTCTCCAGCACTACAGCGATTGTGTGTGAATGGCTCGTGCCACTGCATTCAGCTACTGCTTTCTTTCAGCCACAGCTCGTTTATTAGAAAGCAGGGAGACCAAACCTAGTTGTTTTCGCTCTACAAACAAGCACTGGCCTGCACTCCAGAGGCAGCTACGCACCAGCTGAGCCCGGGGATATCACCTCCAATACTGGATGCCTCCAAGGATTGCTCCCACTCAGGAGAGGCCAGGACAGAAAGGCCCCGCTGGCTTTACTTCCACCGGGCAGATGATCACCTGCAGCACCAACAGCAGGACGGGGAGTCAGCTTTCCCAGGAAAATGCTCTCCTGTTCCAACTCACTCCTCCAATTCCTATTTCAGGCCTCAGTTCCCATTCAGACGCCCGCCCGCCTCCCCCACCCGAGCGCGCATGCGCGCCTCCGCGCGGCGCGGGGGAGGCGGGGGAGCAGGCCAGGGGGCAGGCGCGTGCGGCGGCGCGTGCGCGCGGGCGGCGGAGCCGTGGGGATGTCGCGTTACGGCCGCTATGGAGGCGGTGAGAGCTCCCGGGGGTCGCGGGCGGCGGGCGGCTGCGCGGGCGGGAAGGCGAGACGGGTCTGGGAGAGAGGCGATTATCGCGGGGAGCTTGGCGGCTGGCGGGAGTCGGTGGTGGGGGGAGGAAGGCGATGCGGCCGCCGCCGCCGTTGTCGCCGCCGCCATTTTGCGTCAGCGGCCGTGGGGGAGGCGCGCGGCCGGGCGCGCGGCGCTCGCGCTGAAGGCGGGAAGGGGCCGCGCGGACAAGATGGCGGCGGCGGGGGCTGAGCCCGAGCCCCCTCCCGGTGCCGCGCTGACCCCCGGTCCGCTCCCGCAGAGACCAAGGTGTACGTGGGGAACCTGGGCACGGGCGCCGGCAAAGGCGAGCTGGAGAGAGCCTTCAGCTACTACGGACCGCTGAGAACCGTATGGATCGCCAGGAACCCGCCGGGGTTCGCCTTCGTGGAGTTCGAAGACCCCCGGGATGCTGAAGATGCTGTCCGTGGACTTGACGGAAAGTACGTGTCCATTTCGCGTGTTTGCCGAGGCTTCTGAGAGAGAATTGGGGTTTATCTCGCTGGTCCCTATGCTTCTGTAGTTGTGTCGTGGACGGAAAGGTTTAACGCAGCCCTTCGCGGACTCGTTGCAGGGTGATCTGCGGCTCCAGGGTCAGGGTGGAAGTATCCACAGGGATGCCGCGCCGCTCCCGCTACGACCGGCCCCCTGCCCGGCGCCCCTTCGACCCCAACGACAGATGCTATGAGTGTGGTGAGAAAGGCCACTATGCCTATGACTGTCACCGCTATAGCCGGCGAAGGAGGAGCAGGTACGTGCGGGGCCGGGGCAGCCGCGTTGCTTCGCCAGCTCGCTTTTGTGTAGTTCTTGTTAGCAAAGAACACAATGTTACACCAGTTTTCTTTAAAATTTAACGCTAGAATAAATGTATAGGTGTATATTACAATTTGTTGCTATTTCTATCAAATGTTAATATTTTAATAATCAACCTGGTCAAAACCTTTCAGGTTTCTTCGTTTGAGTCAGTCGCCTTGATTCAGAATGTCACGAGCCTTAAGATTTCATGCTGAGGCGCCTTGCAAATCCGACACTTAAGATCCTCCTAGACCTTGAGGTGATCAGCATAAGAGGCCAGATCCCCTCGAGCCATCTACACGTAGCTTCACCTTATTCTTTAAGGGCAGAAAATTTGAGACGGTGACCGCCGTAACAGTAAATTTGGCTTTCAATTGGGGCCCCCCTCCGGTTTAGAAAGAGGAACACCAGATTGACCACATTCCCACCTAGAAAAATCTTCTTGCGTCAATCAAGCCTCACCCTGGCTCATTGGGCTGTCAGTTTGATCGTCGTTAGATTGAAGAGAACACCTACCTAGATGCAGCGCTCGCCTATAGATACTTCTAGATCGTCTAGATCTGCTAGACCTTGGGCCAAAGAGGGTCGACCTGCAAACTTGCAAGGTTTATTTTAAATACGCATTACAGTGTTTTCTATTCTAATGTAATTCTGCAATGTAATTCAGCTTTTAACATTTTTCTAGGTAGTAAAAATGCTCAAGACAAGTAGGCCCAGACATTTTTCCAACTGACAGATGCTAGTTCTTTAGTTGTCTGAAAAAAGTTTTGACTTCAGCAGGGCCTCACAGGTGCTGGGTGCTGCAGCTGTCTGCTGATACCTGTTTTTTCTAACCTCAACCCAGGTCCCGGTCCAGATCCCGCTCGAGGTCCCGAGGAAGAAGGTATTCCCGGTCACGCAGCCGCAGCCGTGGTAGGAGGTGTGTTTCAGTTTGTCTTTTATCCCTGTTGCCTTCTTCTGCCTCGAAAAAGCTGCACTTGAGCAACTCTTGGAATTGCTTTCTTTGCAGATCCAGGTCAGCTTCCTATCGTAGGTCCAGGTCCGTGTCTCCTCGTAGGTCCAGGTCCGTGTCTCCCCGCCGGTCCCGGTCGGGTTCCTTGAAGAGATCACGGTAATTAGTACTAATTTTTTCTGTGTGATTTATTTGTGCTGTGTTTTCTTGTTTTAATTAGATTCCAAAAGATACTGGATAGCAGGTTTCAAAAGATGCTGACTTCTGGAAGTGAGCATGCTTTTAAAAGTTTCTGATAATCCTGGTTAAATTCACAGGCATGCTAATGAGTTTTGAGACCTCAGTCTACCATGACTGAATTTCTTTGTGTAAAATGTCTAATGATCATATATGTCTATGATCATGTAGGTCTTAATGTAGACAATGTCACATGTAGACATTAATTTATATAGTGCTGTAATTGTGGTCACTTCTTTATTTATTTTTAATTTATCTCAATTTTTAATTTTAGGTCTAGATCAAGGTCCAGATCTAGATCCAGATCTGTTACATGGCCCCGCAGCAGGTATGTGACTATAGGTACTTGGTAAAAGTTGCTTAGAAGTCTCATTAGGCTCTCTAACAACTGTTAAGATTTTTTTTTCCAGGTTAAAGATGTGTTTTCCCTCCACTAACCTAGGGGTCTGCAGTTTTAAAAAGCAGTGAAGAAGATTGTTCTTCTTCTTTTTATTCTTTTGCACATCCCTAACATCTAGGTCACCATAGTCATCAGAAATACTGGTTTGATCAGGTTGCATTAACAGCTAACAAATGTAGAATTAATCTCAAAAGTTTATTTTCCTTTGTGTAGCACACACGGGATTGGGATTCTTCCCATTATTTTTCTGAAAAAGCAAAACAGACTTCCAGTAGTGTGTTAATGTTTTATTGTCTGCAGCCAGGCAAGTCTTGAAGGCCTTGCTGGTGTCCTGAGTGTCACAGCTGCAGTTCCAGCTCCGTTGAGTATCAGTGTCAATCTGCAGGAGCTGATTTTGATTTGAGACAAACACCTTTCAGAATTATTGTGTACCAGTAAGCATGTCACAGGAGTAACAGTCACATTCTAAAGGAACACAGGATGGTATTTGTTCCTTTAAGCTTTACTTGCCAGTAAGTAAGTGCAGCCTGTGCTTCATGGAGCCTTGTCCTGGCAGGAGGGCTGGCTGGGTGTCCTCAGCAAGAGCAAGAGTAAATGGAAATTCTGCTCTGGATATGGAATTGCTTATGGCCCAGCCTATCCCTGTGCCTGCTGTGCTCGTTTTAATGGCTGCTCTTTGAAACAAGGAACCATGTCAAACAAGTCAACCATGAAGAGACACAGGAAAACACAGGATAGCTTCAGCTAAAGGGAGCAGGTGGAAAAGCCCACAGCTGAAGGTGGCATTTTCTGAGGATGGACAGCAAGCAATGATGGGAGTTTTAGGGGAAAGGAGAGATGAAGACCAGATAGTTTAATTAAGAGCAGAAACTCACACAAATAGTCCAGAAACTGATGAAGAGAGAAGGTTGCCCAAGGCAGTAGAGCAGTGCCTTTCTCTGGCTGGGTACACCTGTGGCTAAACCATGTTGAATCTTAGTACTGGTTGTTCCAACATGACTTAATCATGGTTTATCACTGTGCACTGTCAGTGATGAGCCAGAAACAGCTACAGGCAGCAGACTCTCAAAGAGGAAAACATCTTGATTTTACCACCATTGTTTTCTCTTTGTGGTACCTTGCTGGTTTTCTGCAGGGTAAAGGATACTTGTAGTGACATTTCTGGACTGTTGTGTGACACTTTGTATTGTAAGTAGGGATTAAGTGTCTGAGGCATAGGAAGTTCTAGATGTACAACTAGCCAGAACTGGCAGAAGATTTGTGCTTATGTAATTGAAAGATTATTTTTTTACAGAAGAGCCCAAGGAATGCAGACAGGCTCTGGGTTCATGAGGTAGACTAAATGAGTACATGACATTTTGTGGTTTGACAGTGTCACAACATGCATCTGGAAATTGTTGTGGAAAGCCCTGGATGTGGAATGTAGAACACTTCTCGTGGGATCTCAAAATTTCAGTGAGGCTTTCAGGCAGTATTAGTCTTCCTGTGGTGCAGCAGCCTCAGAGGCAGACATTTTCCACATTTTTTTCATAAGGATTAAGTTCAAACATTTAAAAAAAATCCTTGAAGTAAGTGGATGTATAAGATGAACTTCAGAGAGAAGATACTTGTAAGAATGAGCTGTTGGCTGCTGCAGTGGCAGATGTTGCTCAAGTCTAATAAAACCTGCAAGTTTAGAGCATGGCTTTTTATTAGCTCTCTGAAGATACTGGTCAGGATTTGGGTTGTTCCTGTGTTCCTGCCACCTGCATCAGCAAACACTGGTCATCAGCTAGGGACCAAAGTACACAGCAACATGTGCAGCATCCATTAAAAAGACTTCAGAAACTTAGCAGGCAAAACCCTGGAAACTTGCAGGACTCTGTGTATTCAGCATGACAGTGCTCATCCACTGAGTGTGAATCCTGCTGTCCCAAACGTGGGAACCTGTTCTGTTTCCCTGCTGAGCTGTGTTTTTTCTTGCAGGTCCAGGTCTCATGGCAGATCAAAGTCTGGCTCGCCAGCTAAGAGGTGAGCACGCACACACAGAGCCTGCAGTAGCATCCCAAATTTAGGATTGCATGATTAACAGAGCCTGGTCCTTTAGAAAAATATCCCCCTAACATGGGTCCCCAGCTAATCTCTTTGTGATATGACAGAAATGATAGAATTTCCTCTGCAGCTCTTTGGAATGCACACCTTACCTGTCTCTGGGTTTTCATTAACTTTTTGTTGTTTCCAACATAGTACTAGTTTTTGGTGCCTTTGTGCTCAGTTCTGTTAAATTTTTCTCTCCATCAGATAAAGACCTTGGGCTCTGTTAATGCTTTTCATAAAACAGCAGCCTGGTGACGTTGCTTTTCTCAAAGCCTCACCTTAGTACCTCCCCTTGTTTTTCTGTTTGTCTGCTGAAGAAAGTTGCTTCAAATGCATCTCCATGCTAAATAAATGGAGAATCCCTGTCAGAGTAAAAGTTGATTTGAAAACTACCATTGGAAAGACCTGGCTAGATTCCTGTAATTTACTTTCTGATAGGTTGGGGTTTTTTTAAACATAAAAAACAATTTGACATTTCAACTGCATTGATGCTGTTCTGTTTTGGCAGCCGGTCAAAGTCCCGGTCACCGTCTCCAAAGAGAAGGTACGTTGGTCTCCCTACTAATAGCACAAACTCCACAGAGCTGGCATTTTAGTGTCTGCACTGAACTCTGCTGAGGAGTTTGCTGCTTGTAGGAAAGTACTGGAAAGGTATTTTGCTGAGATCTCTTTCACAGCAATAATGTTGTGGTTGAGGCTTTTTATATGGTAATGTGTATATGTGGTGATAAATGCTCAGGGTTACGTAGCAGTGTTTTGTTGTTGTCTGCTCCCCTGTTCCTTTGGTTCACTGACAGTTTTATTGCACAGAGACTCATGAGCTTAAAGCATAGAATAAATGTAGGAAATCAGCCTTTAGTCTCATTAAAAGCTACATTGACATTGGGGAAGGTACCCAGGAAGGTACAGTACCCTGGCACAGCAGTCAGGAATGAAAAATCAGGCCTGTTATGTTCACTGCTGTTAGATAATTTTTTTCTTTTGCAGTAAGTCAGTAAATAGTCTTCTCTCTCTGTGTGTATGCACAGAGTAATGTGTAGAATATGTGGAGTGACAGAATCTGCAGCATTTTTTTTCCTATTTAGAATTCTTTAATAGTTCATTTCTACAACTTTAGTGTCAAGCAATCACAAGGGCATGAAAAAGTGCTCATAAATGCTGAGTGATCACCATGATAGGTTTTGACAAGCTGCTGTATCAGAACAGAGAAGAAGTATCTTGCCCCTGTGGAGGTCACTATTAGTAATATCCTTTGGATGGCCTTACAGTGATCTCATTTTTAAAATAACAGTAAAGAAAGAAAGTGTTATCTCCAGATCATCAACCCATTAACTTTTGTCAGTAGTGATTGGTTATTTTATTTAAAAAGTGCTTGAAGGGAGCCAGAGTCTTGGTATACTCCTGTTGCTTTTTCCTGTATTTGTGATTCCCAAGCAACTACTGAAATGTTAATTGTGGATTGTTTTCCTTTCAGCCATTCACCATCAGGAAGCCCTCAACGAAGTGCAAGTCCTGAAAGAATGGATTAAAGTTATGAAGTTAATCTTTTAGGAAGAAAGTTATTTTGCTTACATTATTATAAGGGATTTTGTGGTGTCTTTGTAAATGTAAGAATGTAGATAGAAGAGTATATCAACTAAAATTTGGCATGATCTGGGTCTTCTGAGTTAGTCACACCAATAGACTAGCACAGGTCTCTTTTTATTGTATGAATTAACTTCCTGTGATATGAAAATGTGGGACTTTTTTATTGGCACATTGAAATAAAATGTGTATTTTTAACTAAAACTTCTCTGTAGTAACCCTGCTGCTTCTGTTAATGTTTGGGTAATTTTAGCTGTGTGCCATGTAATGTGGATGAAAAGTGTCTAAAATGGGAATCACTGATCCCAGCTGTTGTCTTCTCAAGGTAGTCACTTTTCACATCTACTGTTGAGTGGTCTTTGGTGAAAGGATCAGTTCCTGTTCTCCTTAAAATGGAATTTAAAATCCATCTCTGTCTGCAAATGGATAAAAATTTGCATATGCCCTTTTCATGTGGCATTTGTTTTTCTGCCTGATCTGCTTATTCTGCAAAGCTCATTCTCTGGTGTTTGACTGTTGATACCAAATGCCTCAAAAATCTAAGGATAAACTTTCCTTCAAAACACATCTTTTAAGCAAATAACATCTGCAGAAAGCTTTAAAGGTAATAGCAATTATTAATAATTTGAGAATTGCTACTTTCACGTGTTGCATTTTTTAGTTCCTTGGGCTATTGATGTAAAGAAAACTTTTTAAAATACCTCAATGCGTGTTTCCTTTTTTGAGGGAAGATCCTTAAGATGAAAGACTATAGCTGCCCTCAGGAGTTCTAACCTGCTTCACAGAAGCTGGTATGATTGTCAAGCAGCCCATATCCTGGAGATGGCTTTGTTGAATGATCCCAATTTCTTACAGCAAATACACAACATGCAGCAATCATTATTTGTGTATAGGTGTGTCAAATTGTCCTCATTTTGTATGAAGGAATTGCATGATAAAGCACTTCAGCACAGCTCACAGCCAGGAACTGGCAACAGTGTTGGACTGTGAGCAAAAAACTGGTAGGCAGAGGGGTGAAAAGCCTATTTTCTTTTTGCTGGGATTGGCTATCTAGCAGAAATAAAGGCCAGTTTCAGCAGCAAGTAAGCACTGAAATGGAAAGCCAGGCCTGTTTGGGCTTCCAATGAAATCTGTCAGCAGTTTGCTTCCACTGTGTAAACCACAGCAGAACAGCTTAAATAAAGTTACAAGATGATTTTGTTACACCTGGGGTAGCACATGGGTTTCCAGAAACAGATTTCCTGTTAATGTCTGCATGAAGCTTTTCCAGTGGATGAGTCAACACTCCAGATCCTGAAGGTGCTGTTCTGCTGCAGCATCCTCTGGCCTTTATTCCTGGTCCTCGCTGTGCCTGGATCCTCTCTGGGGCTCACCATGGCCATTGGTGTTCCTGGTGGATTCTGGCCATACTCACCAAATCCCACTGTGGCAGGGCTGACACAAATGTTACCCTGCAGTGGCTTAGCCCAAATGCCTGAAGCCTGCGCTACGTGTTTGGAATATTTTACTGGTTGTGCATTGTGTACCTGGTGAGAGGCACACGTACGCCGCTGCTCTGGAATTTCATCACCTTTTCTTTTCTGTACTCTCAAGGCAAACCTGCTCCACAATAAACCTGCAGACTGACACGACAGCTCTACTGGTACCTGTTTTTCAGTACCCAGAGATACTGGAAGACTGAGCAGAAGAGCCTGGGGTCTCGAGGGGGGCTGGGATTCCTCTAAACCCAGACATGGAACCTGAGCAAGGAGCAGGGCTCTGCTGGTGCGGACAGCCAGCACTTTGTAAGGCGCAGAGGGGGAGCAGTGACAAAGATTGCATCTGTGCTTTTGTGCGGCTGTGCTGTCCAAAATTGAGCTCTGGCCTGAGTTTGGTAGGATTTCCCCACAAATTCCATGCAGTGTTTGTGAGCAGTTGGAAAAGATGCCATGACAGAGGGGTGTGTTGTGGGACTGGTGCTGCTGTGACCCTGTGCCTCTGGGCAGGATGTGCACACCCCACACAGGCTGGCTGGGGGTGGGGGGCAAGGGAAGTGTATCTGAGGTCTCCAGTGTGGTGGGCAAACCCACTCTCAGGGAAAATGGGGTTCCCTTGGTTTGCCACCTGGTGTTCCCTGTTGGTGGGCTTTGTTCTGCAAGGGATACCAGCCCTCACAGACAATATGACCTGTGCACAGCAGGAGAGTAGTGGGCCTGTCTTGTCTTTTCGGTGCCACATTTGCAAGCCCAATGGCCAGGCACTTCCCCTGGGGGCAAGGGCATTCCTGCATCTCTGCAGTTGAGGAAGTATGGTGAAGTGCTGCAGGCCCTGGGTGCAGCAGCATGGCAGGAGAAGGTGGGACACAGTGCCTAATGCAAGGACTGTCTGCCTGTTTCCCTGGGGAGTGGGCTGTCAGCTCCCTAATAAGATAGTCATGTCATCCCCGGCTTGTGCCAAGTTTTTGGAACCCTCAGAAACATGGAGGTTTTCATCACATAGTTCCCTGATACAGGACATTGGAGGTTTCATGTGGAAACACAGTGTTAGGATGATGGGTTTTCTCCTGCAGTTGTATATTCAGGACTAAATAAGTGTGCCCACTTCAGGAACCAAGACAGCACAGGAGTTTAACCAGAGCACCCAGGGCAGCCAGCTGGGATAATCCCAGTACACTTGTAAGAAATACAACACACACTGTCCTCCTCAGAGCTATCCTGTGAGCACTGCACAGCACTTAAAGAGAGCACTTTGATGGAAGGAACAGATGTTGTAACAAACAGCCACAACTGCATCAGCCTTCCCACGTGCTCCACATGAATATTACTAGATATTCCCTTGCTGTCATTGGTGCTGTGATGTCATGCCCCTAAACAAGGTGTTTTCAGTGCATTTTTACTGCAAAACAAAACCCAATGCCCAAGGTGAGAAGATGGACAGAGTGGAAGACTGGCACAGACCAGACAGCAGCAGAGATGGTGATAGGAGCTAAAGCCAGCAGAAACCACGTGTGGAAACCACAGAGGAGGATAAAGGCTCCCAGATCAGATGCATCACCCAGGGTAGTTGGAAAGCTCTGTTTGGCACCTGGCAGGATTTCTGGCTCAGCTCTGGAGGCACTTACCCCTCTCAGTGCTGGGAGTCAGCAGCCCTCCTCCTCAAGCAGTGCCGAACACAAGCCACGTGGTGTGGTTGTATTCCTCACCCGGACGGAGCAGGGCATTGGGGAAGTGAGGCTGGGGAGAAGCAGCAGCACGTCAGTGACTGTGAACACATTCTGTGGGAAGCATGGCTGTATCCCTTTGTTCTTCCCAAGGCATATTCCCACAGCTCCCCCCAGCCATTTCCAGCAGCAGTGTGTAACCACCCACCACTTGCCAGAGTGGTTCAATCCAGGCTGTGAGGAACGATTCAGATATGAGAGGATGTGGCAAGGCCCCAGTGGGGCCATCTGCTCTAGACCCCACACCTTTGGGAAGCTGGGCTGCACAGGGCCAGTCCCTGCTGCACTGACTGACTCCTGTCTAAAGCCACTGTGACCTGTGCCTGCCTCACTTCTGGTGCCTGCAGTGCTCCCTTGACAAGGAGACTCTGTTCCTACATTTAGGGTCCAGAAACATGGAAGGTGGTGGGGGTATGTCCCCTGCCACAGGACCCAAGTAACCCGTGGGAGGGGAATGGACAGCTCACCTTGTTAACGGCATCAGGCCAGTTCTGGGTTTCCAGGCAGAAAGCTGAGTGCTTGGGGTATGTGGCAGCACTTTTGCCCTTCAGGGAGGCATCCAGGAAGTTCCCAGTGTAAAACTGGATGCCAGGCTGGGTGGTGTGAACCTCCATGGTCCTGCCGGTGGGGGGGTGGAAAACCCTGCGGAGATGCCAGTGGAGGATGACACGGGACTGGCTGAATGGGCACCCTCTGGCTCCAGGGGTGGGAACTCCTGCCAAGGACCCAGCCTACCTGGCCCCAAGGCGTCGATCCTGTCCCTGATGCAGGCAGAAATTGTGGTCAAAGCCATCCAGGTGAAACTTCTGCAAGTGCTTGCCCAGCTCCACAGGCTTCCGGAGATCAAATCCAGTGCCCTGCACGGAGGCCACCTCCCCTAAGCAAGGGGAACAGCAGGCTCAGCCACTCAGCCACATGCCAGCAAACCTTACCTTGTTCCCCAGCATAGCTGGCAGCTCCTGGGGACACTGCTGTACTTAGCAGGGACAAAGCACAGAAAGGAGCAAGAAAACACATGAAGTTTGTATATGTACAAACCCAGCATTTTCTCCTTTGTCCTTGTTAAGACTGCTATGGACATACAGTGCCTGTGATAAAGCAGTACAAACAACCCCAGGACACACTAAGCACAGTATAAAACAGTCACCCCAACCCAAAGATGAGGGGTTTTGCACGGAGGGCAGAATAAATGTCTTGAAAAAAAAAAAGAAACCATTCCAATTCAGGCACTTACATAAAATACAGCAGGTATTGCTGTATTTAGGGGTATGTAGGGGTCTGTCTTTAATAATTGCACCTATCTGATTTTCACCCCACGACTAAGTCTACCCACACAAGAAGGAAGTGCAAAAGGGAGGGGTAGCAAGCTGGCCACAACTAAGATGTGAAACAGCTCCATGGTGAAAGCAGCAGGGAGAAGTGGGCACTGGATTGGGTATGTCCTTAAGCTCTTCCCCTATTTGTCCACAAGCATGGCACATCAAGCTGATCAGAAGCCACCTGGACCAAAGAATCCACTCCTCCAGGTGCCACAGGGAGCTTGTCTCCTGGGTGGACCCACAAAACAGCCTCACATCCCATGTGCCTCTGGCCCCATTTCCAGCTGCTCCTGCCTGCTCCCTGGGGCTGGTGATAGACCCGTTACCAGCACCTGGCTCTGCCCACCCTGCTCATGTGCAGTGGGACTGAACCCAAAGGTGAGGGCCCCGCTGTGCCTGGGGCTGTCCCCTGGCTGCTGGTGTGTCCCCTTGCCAGGCAGTGCTGCTGCCCACAGCCACCAACACTGCTCAGAAAGATCACCTCCACCTGGTGCCGCAAGCACCACTCACCAGTAGGGATCTGGGTGCTGTCCACAGGCAGGTAGGAATCTGCTTCAATGGAGATCTCATGGTCATAGACATCCCGGGAGCCCTGCAGGAGGATGGGAAATGCTGGGATTCCTGTTGCAGCCTCTGTTCAAACAGCCCTAAGCACAGCTGTGAAGTGATAGTCCACAGTGGTGCCCCAGCTGATATGGTAGTGCCTGGAGCACCTCCTGACCTTCATTCCACCCTAATCTTGGGCACAGAACAAAGGCATTAGCCTAGGCAAAAACCTTCATGGGCCCTAGGAGCTGTAAATCCTACAGGGATGAGGCCATCAATCTGTACTTGTACCTCACTGAGGGCCACCACCCTGCAGACTGACTAGCCAAAACATGCTGGGTACTGAGCACACAGCAGCAGGGAGAAGGGGAAGGAAGCAAGCAAGGGGAAACACAACCCATCCCCCTGTCTCATCTGCATTGCTGCAGGGGTGTGCTCCTCCTCCTCTTCCACAGCCTCAGGAATGCTGGCAGGGAATCCGCTGGGCTGGAAGGGGAGCAGGCTCAAAGTTGAGCCTTCAGGTCACTATCTAATCTGAGCAGCAATTTCGTGCCCAAAGGTCTCCTGTTCCTCTGGAACACACCTGAGTTGCACACTGCAAGTGTTGCTTTTGCTGCACCCCTGGGAGCACCAGCACCAACAACTGCACAGCCATCCTCAGGGCAGCAGCTTGGGCATGGCTCCTGCTCAGAGGGGCTGAGTTGTCTCTCATGAACACTTTTAAGGACCTTTGTCTCACATCCAAGTGTGACTGCACTGTTATTATCCTATGGCTCTGCCCAGCAACACTTTATTTCTCAGATCCTTTTCCTCCAAGCCCAGTTATAAACTGTGAGATTAAAACACAGCTGCAATTCACTGTCCGTGTGGTTGACATGACGCTGTACAGGTGTGGGAGAGCCCTCTGCATGCTGCTGCTGCAACCTTGCTAGTCTGCAATCCTGGCTATCTCACATCCTTTCTCTGTTTGTTCTGCCCATTTTGACCTGGGTATTTTGGTGCTGCCACTCCAGGCCCTGATTTCGACCTGCATCACCCTCTCAGAAATGCCAACAGAACACAGCTAAGAAATGCCAGGCCACCACTAGGGCATGCCAGCTCTGCACCTCCTCCTCAATCTTCCCAAGGGATGAGGAGAGAGCAAAACTCCCCAGTTACACACAAAAGGAGAACCAACATGCTCAGCTGGGTGTCTGTTCAAGAAGCCCTGAGACGATGTGTCCTCAGCTGGCATCCACGTGATTCGTTCCTGTTCCTGCATGCAGCCCATGATGCACAGAGACAACCTTCTCTGTTGTGTCCCCAAAACCAGGATGTGTCCCCAGACCAGCACATTGGTGCCAATGACCATCCCACGGCTCCCCAGGCTTTCTTGCCTTGCACAGTTTGTCTCCACGGGGCCCATCCCGCACTTACCTGCCCTGCCAGGTTGAAGTACGCATGGTTTGTCAGGCTGATGGGGGTTGTCTTGCTGGTCTGGGCCTGGTAGTTGATGGCCAGCTCCTTGCCACTAAGGGTGTAGGTGACCCAGACTTTCAGGTCACCAGGGTAGCCTTCCTCGCCGTCGGGGCTGAGCCGGAAGAAGCGGACACCATTCGGGAGCACCTCGGCGCTCCAGAGAAACTGCATGGAGCATGGCCTTGGTGAGACAGGGATGGGAACACAGTGCCCTTCCTTCCCTTCTGCCCCAGGCTGAGCTAAAACCAGGGACAAAAGGCACCCAAGGGATGTTGCACTGAAACAAAGGCTTTTTCAATCACCTTTCCAAAGAAAACACAAGCACCAGCCTGCTCTTGGTCAGCCAGGACCACCAGCAGGGAACAAGCCTTTCCACTGAGCAGCCAAACAAAGGAGGCAATTGGGCAGTCTGACAGGGGTCTGTTCCAGCCTCTGTTATGCCATGCCTGAGAGTCCACAAGTTTGATTTTTGTCCTGCAGCTGGACTTATCCCCCTTTCCATGGATTTTCTCATGTGCAACACCTCTTCAACAAGCTGCCACCCAGGCACTGGCTGCTGGGACAGTGTAAGAACATGCAGGGGGCTCCTGCCCAGGGGCTGGGGTTGGGTTAAATGGTAGCAGATATACTGTCAGACACATCCAGAGAGCTGGGACCTCTCTGGTTCTTGTGCCTGCCAGCAGCCTGCACCAGTGCTCAGCTTGGAGCCAAACATGCTGGCAAGGGAAGCAAGCCAGCCCACTGTACTCAGCTGCCCAGACAGCCTGTTTGGCCCCAGCCATGGCCTCATGCTGGGAGGATGGATGTGCAACAAGAGGCTCTCTGAAGCTTCACATTTCCCTGAGGAATAGTTACTGTCTAATCAAAGTGGAATAAAGATTTAGAAACAGGGGCCAGCTCCATGCTGTTGCATTAATCCCTCTCGTGTCCTACAGAAATCACCAACATGGGGCATGGTCAAAAGCCAGCATTTTCACCAAACACAGAACCTGAGGGTGACAAATACACCTGGCTGCAGAGTAGGCCCTCCTACACAGTGTGCAGTTTGACTGCAGCTCCCATGGCTACTGTAAGGATGCTGCGGGTTTTAAGTACAAGTTTCTATTTAAGTTCTTCGAAAAAAAGCTACTGAAGTCCAGGAAACGTACAGGTATCGCTATTTTTTTCTAAGATAAGAGAGTTATTTTCAAAAATCCCCCAGCAGTGTGGTCACACACTGCAGCCCTGTAAGTGCAGCTGCAAGATGCTCTCACCAGACCACATGCTGACCGCAGCACTGATATCTGCAAAATCAGGAAAAGCTCAGAAGATGACCAAGATAATCACAGCCAAATGCCAGTATGTGGTTTTTGTTAGGGATGACCAGTTAGGGCTCACTGTCTCTGAACAGCGACTTTTTCCTGGCTGGAGGGGGTCTTGGGCAGGTGTCCAAGCGTGCCCTGTGGGCCAGAGGACATGAAGCTCTGGCTGGGAGATGTCACTACCTTACCCCCAGCAAGCTGGTGAGACTTCTGCAAGCAAGCAAGGTGAAGAAGCAGAAGAAGAGACCACATCCCCTGCCTGCAGAAGACAGCCTGGAAGCCCTGGGTGTGAAGAATTGCATGTTTTCAGCTGCATATCACAGGTGTCAAGGTGTATAAAGAAACTTTATACCAACCAAACTGTCCTCTTTGGGGGTACAACAGCCAAGCTATCCCCAGTGCTCCCTTTTATCTAAGGCTGCTGAGAAGCATTTCATCCCAACCTGATGCCAGTTCACACTGTGATTTATTTTTTTTTTCAGGCACCCTGGCTTTTTTCCCCATCAGCCTGGATTCCTTTCACTAAAAAAATCCCATTAACCCCATGAAAGCAGCTGCACCAGCACATTCACGTGCTCTTTGGGGGAAATGGTGGATCAGCTACTTGCTGGTTACAAATGCACTTGATCCCACAACACCCAAGGCTTCAGGAATGCAGAGACTTCTGAGCCTGCTCTGCAACGGAGCAATGCTTTCAAGAGATCCTCCACTGCTCTTACCATCTGTACACAAATACCTGACTTGACAGCAGCTCTTGGGAGGACAGAGAAAAAGCTGAGTGCCCTGGGGCCAGGGAAAGGTTGTTTCATCTCAGGAGGTCATAGGGGAGGGCTGGGAAAGAGAGACAGTGATCCTGGATCCTGGGGCATTTTGCGGGCCTGATCTAAACCCCCTCTGCTTCGAGTCAGAGTGAGAGCCTTGGGGACATGTTGCAGGATGAAAGCGGCACCAAAGGGGGCAATGCAATGACCGAACCTGCAGCACCACCCTGCTCTCACCTTACTCAGGAGTGCTGTCACTCAACAGGCGAGCAACAATGATAAGTTTCTGCAAACTCACGTGTCCTTGTCCTTGTCCTTTTGACTCTGGGAGGAGCTAAGGGCAGGTAACAGCCATGAAAATGCGGGTGGAAATGAGTCTGCATGGACAGACCACTGTTCCCAAGGAAACTTTCTTTGGGCACTTGCACAACTCCATGATGCACTCCAGGGTGGTGCAGCTGGTGCCTGGGGAGCCTCCCTTGCTCCTGAGGGTAGGTCCCCACTGCCATGTCCCAACCTAGGCTGTGCAGAAGCAGCACCTTGCCCAGACAACCCTGCCAGAACTCAGGGGCTCATGAGGCTCAGGGCTGCAGTCACAGAGGAAGCACAGCAACCCTCTGCTCGGCATCCAAGGATGACATAAGTCATCAACTCTGCAAACTCAGGCAAAGACAAGCCAACCCAACAGCTTGCAGGATCTGTCTCACTTCCCCCTGTTTCTGCACTCACAGCACTTTCTGACTTGATTCAACTCAGTAACCACCTGAAAATGCTACAGGGTTCAGGGGTGTAGACATCACACGCTCTTGCCATAACCCCACAGGTCGTATGCTGACAGGAACACTGGGATTTTCACCTTGTCAAATCCCTTGGCTCCTCCATGCAGGCTGTTGGGCCCATTGTTGATGAACAGCTGATACTCCTTCCCATCCAGGCTGAACTTCCCGTTCGCAATCCTGTTGGCAACACGGCCCACAACACAACCAAAGAACGGGTGCTTCCCCGTGTAACCTGGCCAGAGAAACAGCACACGGTTAAATAGAACGACTGGAACAGGATGGGGGGGTCTCCAGGACCTGCCCATTCTGCTTATGGACTCAGAGGTGTCTCTTCCTGCTTCCCTCCAGTGCTAAATAGGTGACAGCAATCCCAGAGTTTCACAGAACACACAGCTCATTAGTCATGCATCTTTGATTAACACAGCCTGATGGGATCTTGTATTCTTTGTAGATTCGAAGAAAAGGCCTCTGTCACTGCCAGTTAAGGAATGACTCAGAGCTGCCCCAACAGAGTGGCACACTGCCACCCCCGGTGTCCCTGGTCCACATTCCCCACCGAGCCCAGGAGAGGCAGCGGGAATCTGGTAGTGCAGACACAGATACAGCAGTTTCTGACACCTTCAGCCCATGACTGGCCGGGGGGGCGCCTTACGAGCCGGTCAGGCAGTGTGGCAGTAAACCAGTAAGTGCCGGTTAAACGGCTTGATTGTGGGTTATTAATTTTTTTTTTTTCAAAGAAACGTATTAATACCCACCTTCCAAAGTGTCAAATCCCAGGACAATATCTGAAAACTGCCCATCCCTGTCTTTTGTCTCCAGAGTGGTGATGATGCACCCAAAAGACAGGATCTCCACTCTCACGCTGTCCGACTGTAAGACGAACTTCTCCACCTCTCCGCCTCCCTCCTCCGGGGGCATCCGCCCGAACGCCTCCCTCCGCACCGTCGTCATCGCTCCCTAAAGCCGGCCACCGGCACCTCCGGCGGGAGCCGCAGCCCTGCCGGGGAAGGACGCTGAGGACGAAGAAGCAATGGCGGCTGCAACGGAGCGCTCCCAGCTCCAAAGGGCAGCAGAACAACAGTCGGTCGCTTCTCGTGCGGGGCGGAGCCGCCCCGTGCCCGGCGGAGCGGAGCGCCGGACATCCCGGGGTGTCACCGCGGGGCAGCAGCCTCCGGGAGCTGGCCGGGGCAGCGGGAAGGGTGCCGAGGGGAGGGAGCGAGGCTGCGGGAGCTGCCAGGCCGGGCAGCCCAGCCGCCACCTCGCAAATTCGGGGGCCGAAGCATCTCTGCCAGCAGCTTCTCTCGCCCACTTGCATCCCACCGACACGACTTTCACGGCCCGTGCAAAGCGCGGCACGACAAAATGCTGTTTCCTCCCCTGTGCCCTCCCTTAGCCCCTGCACAAGAGGCACAAGGCAGCGCCTGCTGATGGTGCTGTAAATCAGGCTCGGGGCATTTGCTGGCCGGGGTGCTGTTATCAAAGCTGTGGCTCTGACCCAGACTCCGTTAAAATCATCATCTTCTGAAATACCGATCTCTGCCTGTCTTTGCAGGTATTTTCAGTGTGTGGGGAAAACCCCGGCAACATTTAAGTAATGTATGTGCACGTTTTTGACCTCTCTAGTGCAAGGCACAAGAACACCTCACTACAATTTGGTATGGTTGTATTTCTATGAGGGCCCATTTTCAAACTTTGTTCAAAGAACCAATAACTCCCACCAAAAAAACTCAATTGGTCAACCAGAGGTTGTTAAATTTGAATTTCCAACACAGCCATCGTCTTTTGACAAGACCAGCTACAAATTCCAAGTGAACACAGAAACCAAACCTCCCACCTGGGGCTGGGCAGAGATAGTTTGGAAATGTGCATTTCTTTGTTAGTGAAGTTCCTGTGTTTCCTTCTGCACCATAACAACCCGTGCTCTCTATCCACAAACAACATTTGAAGCAAACATACCTTTTTTCTGCTCATCATATGAGACAGGATAGGGAACAGCCCAAATTTTGAAGTGAGGAATGTTCCGGATGGATGGATGGATGGATGGATGGATGGATGGATGGATGGATGGACGGATGGACGGATGCTCAGTCTCATTTATAACTGATTCATGGAGTGTTTTCATGTGAAGAGCATTCCCAGAAGTTTGCTCCTTATCACTTCAGCTCCCTCAACACCTCTTTCTTAATGTACTTCTGCAGACACAGGAAGCATTTCTGCTCTGCAAAGACAAAATTTCATTAAGCTGTGGGGGTTTTAACGCAAGAGGAGCTGTCATTTTGATTTACTTCTCTGATTCACACCAGAAAAGATCCAGATCCACCTCTTTGTCTGATGTAGCAGTCATGAACACTGATTTTCTCACCTCCCTTCACAGATACAAGACCACTCGAGCCCCAGTGCCCATCTAAGGCTGTGTGCTTGCAGAAGAAATACAGAGACCAATCTGTTAAAGAACCAGCCACACAATTTTCAAGCTGGCAGATAAACTTGAAAAGAAACCAGCTTGCACAAGCCTGAATCCTGCAGGGAACAGTAAGAAGCAATGTCAGCATCAGGATCTGAGCAAGGTATTCCAAGAATCTGGCTTCATGGCTTTGAGGATTTCTCAGGGCTGATCTTCACATTCATCCTGCCCCTCTGCCACTGGTGACTGAGGGAGGTGAGCAAGGGGGAGGGCAGAATACAAGCAAGTCGTGTTCAACATCTCACCACAATGGATTTTCTTTTTAGTCATTCCTATTTTTAAGAAAGTGGGGGTTTGGGGCCTTGTTCACTGTGACACTGAGTTTTGCTTAGACTGATGGTCAAATGCAAGCTCCTTTCATTTTCTCCTCTTTCTTTCCAGAAGAAAACTGCAGTACTGGGCCTGAGCACACCTGGCATTGGCAGCAGGGCACTTCCACAGCCAGGGAGTGCTCAGAAGAGCTCGCTATTCATCTCCGAGACTTTGGTTTCACTTCTCTGCCTTGCAGCTCTGCACAAGCAGCTGGATAGTGCATCAGCTCTCTAGTCCTTATCTGCCCTCTCTCACACCTGGAAATGCAGCAGCCTTTCCTAAGCCAAAATGCAAAATGCTGGTGAGGAACAAGGATTTATCTGCTCTATCACAGCAGGTATAGAAAAAGTGTGACATGAAGGCAGGTTATGTGCCTGGTCCCACTGCTCCGAGCTCCTCAACACCAGACAAGATAGTTCTGTTTAGTACAAAAGGCAAACTGGGAAGTCAGCCTGTGAGTGATCCTGTCTTTCCCCCACCACAAAGCTGGTAAGAAGGCACACTGTGAAAAATAAATTAGTTATTGTTGTTGTTTGTTTTGGGTTGTTTTGTTTTTGTTTTTGTTTTTGTTTTTTTTAAGGGAGCCATTGAACCCCCAACCAACTTGTATTACAAAATAAAGTTGTTATGAGAAAAATTACAGAGGAGAATTTATTTACCTGGGATCAGAAGCTTGGAAATTCCAGGTGCCTGCAGGGTAGCTACTATTTTGCACAACAGAACTGAAGCATTGGATATTATACATGCTTATGCTATTTTTGTAGGAATACTTTATTTTTTCAATAAAGTATTACTTTGCTTTTTTTTTCCCCCATGATTTTGTTTAATTCCAAATAAAGTAACTTTGCTTAAAAGGCTACAGTCAACTGAAACTCTATCTCTATGAGATCTGTTTTTATTTGGTCATCAGGCACTTCTGTAATAAATTATATCACTACATTTTCTTCCTTCATTTTGTCTTTATGTTAAATACAGCTGTGATTTTCAGTTTATTCTGGATACAGAGCAAGACTTGAGGACTCAACTGGTTAAGAAAATATTTTAAAGGGCAATTCGAGTTTCTGATGTATTGTGCTCACTTATAGGATCCAACTCTGTTCTGAGTTACCCAGATCCATAACCTCCATTTTCATCACAGCTACATTCTGCAATGGAACAGGAGATGGATGTTAATGCCACTCACCATCCTTGAGACAGGTGACAGGGTGTGTGTCCTGTGAGGAAACTTTGGACAATGCTCCTGGACCAGGTTGCTTGGACCAGATCTCTTGTTTTGGGGAACCCAGGGTGTTTGTCTCGGCACCATGAAGTGGTGCAGCTTTGCAGGCAGAGGCCAGGAGCTCTTAAGCTGTTATCACACCAGTGGCATTTTGATTTGAATGTGACAGACACACTCCAAACACTGTAATACTTAAGCAATGGCCAATGGTTACAGCTCGCTGTTGCTCAAGAAACTTCGTTGTTCAGTAAGAGCAGCAGTGCTGTGCCCAGCACTGCAGCTGGAGATGTGATCCGTGGGGGCTGGCTGCTGCACAGACACAGAAAGGAACACGGACATTGCTTCTTACACCCTCCAGCATTACAAGGCTGTAATTAAATCCCTTTTCCCAACACTCTCTGTATAAGCCCGAGGGGATGAGCTGGCACGTGAAGCCTGCAGGGAATTGGAATCAGCAGGCAGAACAAAAGCAGCGACGTTCCCCCACCATTTTATTGTCTGTTTGTTGAATGTATCTTCAGCTCTGCTGGGAACTTCCCGGCACACAGGCTTAAAATGGAGCCTCTGCTTTTTTTTTTTTGCTTCATCTCTTCAGGGGCAAATATACTGAGCCATTGATTAGGTTATTTTGGGATTGTGGCAGGGCACAATTGCTTGCTGTTATTCTGGCAGTCATTTCTCAGAAGCCTGTTACGCACACTTTATAGAGCTCTGGAAAACACAGAGCTACTCGAGAACATTTTACACAGCATGTTTCTGATGTGCCTTTGTGTGCAAGTTGTTTGTGTCTCGGCAGCAGCCAAAGAGCCATTCGGATGTGTTGGTTGCTATAGTAATTACTTTTCTTGGGAACTAAAATAATAGCTTACAGCTCCTGCAGCTCGCTGCCTTGTAGGCTGCCTTGAACCAGAGACACTTCCATTTTGTTTTGGAGGGGGTTGGGGACTCTCAAGTATGCTGAGAAACAGACTTTCCTCACTATGCTTGTGCAGCAAATTTTGAATTTAACCTTTGCAGAGGATGTGCCACAGGTCTGAAGGCTCAAAAATAAAAGTAGCTTATGAAACAATAGGACAGCTTTGCAGCTGCGGTTTCTGATGGGGCAAAGATTTGGATTTGCTTTCAATTTATTGTTACTGAAAGCTGATAGGAGAGGGACTGAGGCTCATGCTGAGACTGATTTTCAGTGCTAAGGACCCTACAAAACACTCTCTGGGGGGCTCAGAGGAGCTTCAAAAATGCCTAAGCAAGCCAAGAAGGAACGTGACAAGGAGGGCAGCTCTGCATCTTTCAACGTTTTTCTCTCTGGTGAGGTAACTCCTGTATGGATCTGCATCTCTGGATAGGGCAAGGGGGTCTCACAGTGGACAAGACAGCCTTGCAGGGCAACCCAACAGCTGGCAGATGCCATCTCCCCCCTTCCATCTGCAGGCACAGAGCATTTCTGAGTGGCATTTTAAACTTCAGCTCTGGATGTCTGCTTGAAAGGACACTGTGCAGAAGCATTTCCCAGCAGTAGGAGAATCCCCATGCTCATGGCTCTGGGAAGGTATTTCAGTTGCTTTGGGCTTCTGGACTGACAAACCAGGGATTCCTGTGCAGCTTGCAGCCAGGTGGGCTGGCACAGCATGGCCCTTCTGGATCTGCCAAGGAAGAAGAAGAGAGGCAGGGGCAAGTGGCACAAGAAGTGGTAAGCCAAATATTACCCTCCTGCATCATGGAGCAGCTGCAGGATGACTGCAGCTCAGACTCTTGACTCAACAGGGGTTGACCTATATAAGGGTCCCAGCACCAGCCACAAGTACCGATTTGCTTTTGCAGCCAGAGGCAAAAGGTGGGGAGGATATAAAAAGGGGTCAGAGAATGGAGCAGGAGGAGCTGGGATGAAAGCAGAGAGAAAACAAATAGGGAAAGCATTTTACCTCCCAGTGCTGTCCTAGAAAATTTGCTCTCAGATGTGCACATGGCTGCATTGGCAACTGGCAGGGAGATGCCAAAGGGAGATTAAAGCATCATCTGCTAAAGGCTGTGAAGGCAAAACAGTTCCTGTTTGAGCAACAGCTACACAGAGATGCAGGGAGGGGA